TTTCGAACGGTTCGATCACACATATATTTGCTAAGAACATTTATATATAAAAACAAATAGGTCAATTAGACAAATGGGGAAGACAAAAATAATAAAGAAAATGCTGTGAAAAAAAATTGACAACTCACCACTCTCGATAATAACCAGAGTAAGCTTAAAGTGAGGACAAACTGTTATTGAATACATAAAAAGAGGTTTGAATTTTCATATGGCAAAATCTTCATTAAACCTTAATATATGCCCTTTAACACTTTTATGCAACACCATAAAAGCCATTTTGACAATGTGAATCGTAACAAAGTCCTAAACTAAGAGAAAAAATGTCTGTCTAATACACTCTGATCATTGTTGGTTAATTCATGATAACCATCCTCAAAAAAAAAAACAACCCGGATTAATGCCTAGTAGTAATATTATTTTCAATTCAATCTATAACAAAAAAATATAAATCAGGTTTTGATCTTTCTAATGACTAGTAATTATTTACTATTCCATTAGAATGTACTTATTGCCAAATTGATGATGAATCATAATTCTTTATTAAAACAGAATTAATGTATTAAAACACCATTACAATGAAAAAGATACAATCAATCAATGTCATTGAATTATTATTATCATCATCAGAATAGTGGTTACCATGTACTACATTACTATTATGTCATTATACTTTTAGTGGGAAATTTAGATCTGAGATAAATGCTGACTAGAATATTGAGAAAATATATATGAATCATGTTATATATGAGTGAAAAAGTGATTTTGATTGTACAGTTCGTATTTGTTCTTGAATTTGATTGGATTGCTAATGTATTAATAATAATAATGATAATCAAACTCCACCTGGAGCCCCTTTGGAGCTACTGCCGGTTCCAAGCCCGGATAAGGGAGGAGGGTTGGGCATGTGGTTAGCGAACCCAACTCAGTAGAAAACCAATTCAGAAAAACAATTCAAACCATTAAAATTCTGGCCTGGGAGTTAGAAGGTTTTCATTTAGAGAAGTTATAACACCTAATGGTAAAAGCCGAGTTCCTTCGAAAGTCACGAGGCTGATGCCCCTTCAGACAATTAGAGCAACCATTAATTTAGGTTCATAGAATGCTCGTACAGTGTGGGAGACCGGGAGAGTTATCCAAATTGCTGCAGAATAACAACAGCGACCATATTCTCGAACACGTAAACTACTGGTTGACTAGTTCACCATTACAAATATTCAACGCAATTCATTATTTCTAAAGTTGACAATACAGTAAAGTGATTATGTTTAGATTTTTCAGTATCTGTTTACATATAAGAAGAAAAAATATATACAAACTTACCAATTAAATATTGAAATAACTGTACCACTAACTTTACGTACAGCTCTTATATTGTTAATGAATAGAATGGAAAAGCCCGATTTTATAAGGAAACAATATAATAATTATTTAAACTGATCATTTTGAACTAAATCAGTTTGGCCAAGACATGTAGTAATGTGTAAATGTTATAGTTTTGGGGTAGTTTATCGAGTAACATGGCCTTCTGTAAATGTTCTCTTTCCTCATGGTTGAAGAAGTTATCTTAACAAATTGGACCATCCAGATTACTTACTTACTTTCGCCTGTTAATCCCAACAGAGCATAGGCTGCCGGCCAGCCTTCTCCAACCCACTCTGTCCTGGGCCTTCTTTTCTAGTTCTATCCGATTTCTGTTCAGTCTTCTCATATCTATTTTCATTTCTCTGCGTAATGTGTTCTTTGGTCTTCCTCTTTTCCTTTGGCCTTGAGAATTCCAAGTGAGGGCTTGCCATGTGACGCAGTTGAGTGCTTTCCTCATCCAGCATTATACATTTAAAATATGAGATAGAAAAGTTTCTACTTCACAAGTTAACAAACTTCAGCGTTGACTTCAAAAATAATCACTTTCTATCAGAAAAAAGACTGTTTTTGCTTTCTCAATTACTTATATAATTATGACAGATAGGAACTCGTATAGATGTAAGCTTATAAATATGAATTTTATTATTTTATGTACGTTTCGAAAGTCCATAATATGGTAATTCGAAACTATCTTGTCATAGCATCTAAAATGGAATCTTCTCTTTCCAATGTAAAACTTCAGATCGGGGTAGGTCGTATGTTACTTTCAAAATTATATAAATAATAAAAATTCTTACATTTCTTTGTAATAACTAAATCAAATAGAACTTGCTGTGGTCTAGACTAGGTGGTTTCTAACAAAAAGCTTATCAACATAGAAACTGGGTGGTGAAAAATCACTTATATACTACAGATATGTTAAAAACCGACTGTAGTTTACAAACTGAATAATAAATTTAATGCAGTTTGTGGCTAAATAATCTTGTTAAAAATTTCTGAATACGCCCACCCACTAAAGAAACAAACGAGATATTGACGTTGCTTCAAAGCTTCAATATTTTATACTCAAGTATTTATGAGAAAGACATTTTTAATATGGATTGAAACAAATTTCTATACTAAGAAGTTTGACAGCAATCACTTTCCATTATCAGTAGGAATGAGGATTCTCTCTAGCGTTATTTCACGACTCATCTTAGCATTACTACAACTGCCATGGAATTTAAACAATCTTATAATAAACCAGTAGAATCAATGGAGATAGAAGGAATTTTCAACTCATTAATTGTCTAACAATTACTTAACCCAAAATAACACTTAACTGGAAAATATTCATGAACTGAATTATACTCAGAGTCCATCACAGTTACAAAAGTTTATATTCAAATAATATACCTAGTTAAATAAAAAACAAACGATCATTGTGTTAATAATGATAATTTACGAAAAAAACTCTAATCTATGTACAACACCGCGAGCGGGATCTCGGATGCCTGCTGATAGAAAGTCCCATATTAGGACGTAACAGCTATCCAGTGCTTCCAGGCTTTCAGGGGTAGTCTAACACTGATCAGTTCATGATCTCCACAATTCTATACTGAAATTGTAATTTTAATTGATCACAGTCTTTTGCTGTCAATCAACAGATTTTCAAATATTATATACTGCAGACTATTTCATATATTTCTTGTACTTACATTTCGGTAAAATGAATCCAAGTATATGAAATAACTTTATAAGTTAGCTGGGATTTACTATCGTTCTAGCTTTCATTATCTGTTGGATCCATTGTTGTTTTTACTGAGTACTAAACAGTAAACGACTCAGTAGTGATAAAATTTTATTTTGATTATCGATGAAATAAAACCACAGTAAAGTATTAAATAAACGACAGAACTGTATTGAACAAAATCTGTGGTATTGTAAACAGACAGGACAACAAACCAGTGAGGTACAACTCATCTAACAAGATAACGTGGCGAGACAATAATTTATGAACGAAACGATCAGATATGAGGTAACAGGTTTTGTATTCTGGCGCGAAATTTATGTATGCATTTGACTAAATAGTGTTTTGGTATTTTAGCTGGTTAGTTAGTGGTAAAAACAATAAATCTAATTCCTAACCCTAACTATTAACTGTAAATCATAACTCTAATTCCCAAGGTTAATTTAGTGTCGCTGAAAAGTTGTTCATAAATTACAGTCTCAGAATGAATATTTAAAGCGTTCATCTTAAAATCATGAGACTGACTAAAAGACTCATGAATAATTCTGAAATAAGTACTTCTGATCTGTTCATGACAAAACAAAGTGAGATATATTGAGGTAATTAATAGAAACTTAATGCAATTGGTTATTTGTTCATGCTTATCTTGGCTAATCGGTTTCGTTTCTTTTTCTTTGTATCACAACTAACATAATAAATTCATGCTATTTTTCACTGCAAAATTTATTTATCCGATGAGATGGTGGAGAAGATTTATAGTTCAGGTGAATGATTTTGATAGAGTTTTGTTCTCTGAGCTGAATGGTTTGGTCTTGAACTTCAGGACTTCTATCTGAAGTTTGTGCTGATGATGTTGTTGGAGAGAAAAATGAAAGCTCCACGACCAAACCAACCAGTTCAGAGAACAAAACTCCATCAAAATATTTGGCCTATTCCATATATGTCAAACGTTTCAATGGAGTTTGATTATATTCTACTTTTCTATACACATTGATCAACGGCTGAATATAACATTTGAATTTACAAAAAAAAATGAACTGACAACCATCAACTGTTTTAGTACTGTTACATTGTATTCTTGTATAGAAACACGGTTTTAACACAGCTTATTTATATACTAATTTATCAAATTAACCAGTACCAGTAAACCAATCATATTCAACATTTATACTGGCTCCAATTTGTCTGATACACATAGACAGACAGGTGCCTGTTGAATTTTGTGTTTTATTTTTTTGGGTTTTGTTTTTGTTTCCATTTAAGATTGTGTGTTTAGGATAGTTGTAAATACATATTGTTATTGTATTGGTTGTTTATTTCATCCAATCAAATGTTTATGTTTTGAATAGACAGACTGGCGCCTAATACTTACTCATTTTTGTGTTTTAACGAATAAATCAACAGACGATAAGGCAATTAATATATCAGTAACAAATTTATAGTGATCACACCGATATTATTTCAAATTAGGGCAAATATGCAAAAGTTGAATTTCAACCATAACGATTTCGTTATTGGAAAACAAAAAAATATTTTTCTTGTTCTCCCTCTAAAATAGTTCAATTTTAGACATTGACTAAGCACAGTTTTAAGAAAAGAAAATTCACTTATTTTCAATCCTTTTTTTCTTAAGCAACTGGTTTACTGATGATTATACTTTTTTTCTTACCGTAAACGGGTGGTGGTAGGTTTAATGGTTATCGGCGCTAGATTAGCAACAGTAAACCAACCTGGTGATTGTCCAGACTAAACTGTATGTATAAAAATATACCATTAACCTGACTGTTTGTTTACGCCAATATATATATATTATATATTGCGTGTGTGTTTATTGGTATAATTTGATATAGAGGGACAGAATGACATAAATTGTTGAAGAAACTCTTTTGTATGTACAAGATGGGTGAGTGGGTGGTTAGGTAGTCGGATAGTCAGTGAGTAAGAGGGGGTAGATAAATTAATTTTCGACAATGGCTTTTGATACGCCAATATTATGACCTAAACTCGTCCCCTATTACAATTTCTATTACACTATAATTATTAGCTACTATTTAGTTACATTGATAAAGATCAACATGAGAGAACGTTTATAATTTGGAATTAAATAATAATTTAACAGCTACAAGAAAAGAGATCTTAAAACTTCAATAGAGTAAAATAGTTATCTCCTTGAGAAATTTAAAGGAAATATCATTTCTCATTGTATTTGATTAGAAAATAACAAACAAACAAACAAACACTTTCCCTTTTCTATCTCTCATTATTCATTACTATTGTAATACCAGTATATAAATGAATACAATATACAATAACAATAAAATATCTAGAAAATAATTAACATTATAAATGAATATTTACACACCAGAAAAGTTTAGAAAAAGACAGAAGTAGAAATATCCTACTGTAACTATTAAAAACAAACTAATTTTCTCTCAGTTTTTGTTGTTGTATTATGAATTGTACATTTAAAATACAATTTATTCATCATCATTGAATAATAATAGTAATAATCAAAGTTTAAGAAACCAGACATTGGGTCAGAATTGTATCCACTTCTTCATTTCGGTAAGTAGATTATATTGAAATGATTTAGATTTATTACTTCGAATAAATTTATTATTTAGTGGTTGAAATCATGAGTCAATTAAAGCTAGAACACCATGAAAACCTGGAAGCACCGGATAGTCGCTTCGTCCTATCGTGGAACTTCTCAGCAATGAGCACCCAGGACCTATCAGTCCCGCGCCCAAGCGCTTAACCACCAGACCACTAAGCCGGCACGTCACGAGGTGGGGTCGTGGATGCACACTATTGAGGAGTCCTACAATAGGATGAAACGGCCGTTCAGTTCTTCCAGGTTTTTCGTGGTGGTCTAGCTTCAATTAACTCATGATCTCAATTATTGAAATTACTAAAATCTCTACAAAAAAACCCTTCTGATACAAATTTATTATGCATTATTTAATGAGCATTAGATCAGTAATAATTTGAGATAGTAATTTATAGAGACTATTACTATTACTACTACTACTACTACTACTACTACTACTACTACTACTACTACTACTACTACTACTACTACTACTACTACTACTACTACTACTACTACTACTACTACTACTACTACTACTACTACATTTGAAATTAGTTATTACAATAAACTGTTATTTATTTGAGAACTATTGTGAATTAAAGACATGATATTAGTGAACATTGATAGTTCCAAATCAAGTCCTTACAATGTTGATAAATTTCGTAAATTAACTATCAATTTCGATAATACTTTCTTATATTTATTTTAGCGATTGTTGTAATTGGACAGTACATTTGGTACTTCATCAGGAAAACCATGTATCTGACAGGATAATAACGAATACGAATCTGAATACACTAATATTTAAATACGTTAATGTACAGTCGGATTAATAGTCAAATTTTGTATGAGTTGAAATGAATAGTAATTAGCATCAATTCATCAATAACTTAATATATGAACAGACATTGATTTATTTATTTAAACATATAAACATTGGTACAAGGAGACAGTAAATAAATATGTACCACATTTCACCATTCTGTCTATGTGAAGTTTAGGATACTGCCAAGGCGCCCAAACGGAAGTAGGCTAATTTACCAAGTTAGATAATTGCTCTTTCTTAAGATGTGATTATATGTTATAGATGATTGGAAAATGTCTGTTTCCTATGTTACTCTTATTTGAACTAGTTTAGTTCTTAAATATATCGACCCTCCCCCCCCCGATGTAGTAACATTAGTGAAAAGTAGATATCTTTGACTCGTTTTATATATTCATCAGTTTTCATGGGGATCATTTTCTTGTTTCGAATACAGATTGAAACTCCACAATTGATGTTAAATCTGATAGAATCCTTTATAATGGGTGTGACTGATAATTCAGTATAGATTTTTAATGTTACTTCTTACCGGCTTAATCAAGTTGAACATTTGTTGCATTAGTTGATGACATGAACAGTTTTGGAGGTTAAATTAGGAGATAACATCAGGTTATCCAACTATTGATGTGAATTATAAAATATAAACTTCTTTAATTGTAATCTTTGATTGATGAACATCTATCAAAATAAATCTCATATATAAACGGATTCATTTTTTTATTTCTTTAAATTCTAGATTTTAAACATGTATTGTGCTCTTCGCTTCAGATTCTGGTTATTCTTACTGAACTCTTTCCCTGTCTATGATTAACACTAACATTTTAAGTATTTGACTATCGATTTTTTTTAACCACCTACAAGTGTACTAATATAAGATATAGCAACGTAAATTAATGTACGTCTATCCCTAGTTGTGTGATGTTATAAACTGACTTACTCTTTATATTGATTACACTCTAATCTCAACTGACAGTGAGTTATAACATTGACACAAAAATTTTATCTTTAAATTATTCATTATAAATGAGATAATATTTTCCCCAATTGAATCCTTGGTTACTAGTAAATAATCTTGATTGAAACATGTTAAATCTCTTTGATTTTCCCAATTTTAAGTTGGATACACACTGTAAGCAGTTGTATACAAGGATGATGCAACCATATAACAATACATGCTAAATAGTTTTGAATTATTCATCAGCTGATCCAATTGTTTGAAAAATCATTTTTCACAAAATTCCTAATTAAATATATATTTTATTAGTAAATTAAGTTTTGAAAATTAAGATGATGAACTGATCAACGTTAGACCATCATTAAAAAACCTAGAAGCACTGGACGGTAGTCTCGTCTTATTGTGGGACTCCTCATGATCTCAATCCAAAAAACTTAATCTCAACAACCCCCAATACTGATAATTACAATGTGCTCACTAATGACTAACTTCGTCAGGGAATTCTCAGAGTTCTAGTGAGAAGCCGTGACCAATGGAGCTAATCCGTGTCAGGTAGAGACAGGTAGGTACCTCATTAAAATGGAAGATGGTCGCGCAATTTCGTGGGTTGAACGAGGTTAGATATTAACACCATTGGATCCTGGCTGGATCAGTGGTCCAGTAGGTTAAGCGTTAGCGCGCGAGACTGAAGACCCTGGGTTCGAATCCGGCGTGCGGCATCGTAGATGTGCACCGCTGAGGAGCCCCACAATAGGACGAAACGGCCGCCCAGTGCTTCTAGGTTTTCAATGGTGGTCTAACATCAATCAGTACATGATCTCAATCAATGAATCATCATGTCAACCAAGAATATATTGACTAATCTAAATAAAACCACACAGAGAATAAAAATTTAATTTAAATAAATAAGAAGTTAATTTATTGGTGCCGGAAGTCAAAATAAAATAACACAAAAAAGAACGTACTCTAAAATAAGTACCACTTTTTTTGCTTGTTTTTCTTTATATTCTAATAGAGTCTATCAGGTGTGAAATATTATGTAATTGAAATAATTGAAATTATTATTATAGCTTAGTTTGGTTGTTTTTTTAATTAGTAATACCACTTATAAATTTCTATTATGGATTGAGTTAATGTATTATGAATATTTCCGCTTAAACTACGATGTAGGTAAGATATTCAGTCAATCAATCAGTCAGTCAGCTACAACATACGGCTAGGAACATGTATGTATCGGTTCAAGTTGCCATACCTCATTAGCACAAAAACATAAACACCGAATTGATAGAAGTAGTTAGTTCATTGGTGGTAATATAAAACAGAAAGATTGTGTATAAAGATGTAATACAGGAATATAGAATTAGAAAGATATAAAGCAATTTTAATCTGATAGTTTAAGGGAAGACAGACAGTATATACACCGACGCCATTATGATCGATTCTGAGTCATGTCACAGACAGTCTCCAACCATTGGTTATGATAATCACAGGGACCCGAACTATGTAGTCTGCATCTATCAGCATGGCTCAGATTAGAAGTCAGTGACTTGAAGGACCGATGCTATGTTTTGGTTTGGCCACCCCTAACTTTCTTTCAACCGTCTCCAACACTAGTCGTAGTAATCGGTGTTCAGGCATACGTAACACGTCGCTCACCCATCTTAGTAGTTGAAGATTCACAACCTCATCAACTGATTAACCATCACTCCTTAATATCCTGCGTCTAACCTCACTATTACTTACCCGGTGATTCTAGTGGATGCGAGCAATATTTCTAAGACACCTGTGATCAAATACTAGTAACTTACGAATATCTTCTACTCTTAATGGCCACGTTTCACAGCCGTAAAATAGAGCAGAATGAACTGCCGTGCAGTATACTCGTCCTCTTATTGACAGACAGATATCTCGCCTTCGCTATAGATCATGTAAGTTGGCAAAAGCCAAATGAGCTTTCTAAATCCGTAGGTAAGATATCCATTTGTTAACTAATGAATAAGTATACTTTACAACAGTTCGTAATGTTTTATAGCTTTGAATAATAGTCTATAAAATTAGAGGATATTTATTCATAATTAATATTTGTCTCTAGATGCCTTTGAAGTATTTCTCATTTTTGTTAGTACTACAACCGTTTGTCTTCCTTTATATATTGAGTTTTAAAATTACCTTATATTTTTCTGTACCATAAATTCATTCTTTCTTCCTAAAGCTTATTGTTTATGCTGTTACTATTTCTACTTCTCTGGTATTATTCAGCATGATTTCATCTCGTTTTGCTAATGTGGTGTGGTACCTTGAAACAATGCACAAATGTGCTTTATATCACCTTATTTAAATCAGTTATAGTCATCTTGAAACCTTAGAGAAATGTGCTTCAACCTAAGCCATTCTTGTCATTTGAATCAGAATAGACAGATGTAGTACTGCCAATTATAATGAAATAAATTAAACAACATCAAAAACATATTGTATTGGAAATGAAGGACCGATTCAAAACCATATTACAAAAATATACTTAAATATCAGTTTGCGTCTATTAAAAAAAGGGGTTTATGTGTATTTTAAGACAGTGGTCTTGAGTGCTGTTAGAGGTATGAGGGCGGTTATCACTTCCCGGTTTCCCACACCGTGGAAGGGTTCTTATGGAGGTGCCTGAAAAGGAAATTGGATTAAAAGTGGTCTTAGTGACCTGAGAGCGTGACCGCAGTGCTCAAGGGACAACTGCTTATGGTCGGTCACACACGACCTTTTTATGGGTAATTTTTGTGTTAGCTCCGTACTTGTTGAGACCTTACCACCGGAGACGGACATCCGTGGGATAAGGCAAGGTTTGCATCTTTAGGGTCGACCTTTTCTAACCCCACCCCTCCTTGTGGGAAGGCAGCATCGCTGTCATGCTGGTTGTCTGAAGGAAACACCTTACTGCTGTCACACCTCTGTACAGTCAGCAGTACGACTTCGCCTTCGAACCTTAGGTTCGTTGCTTTTAGTCTTACCGCTCTTCAACCGACCTGTCTGACATGGTAGGACCTTGAGGAACGGTTGTTCCGGCCAGTATAGCTCGGTTGCTTCATCACGATAGGCGATTAACTTAATTATTTAACTACACTGTTTAAAAGAAAATATTTATCTTGATTGTATGAAACATAGAAAGCATCAATACTAATCAAGAATTCTAAATAGAAGTTGTG